TCCCTCATTCACCCTTATTCTTGCTACGGTAAGCGATGTTACTGATAAATATTCCTCAGTTTACTCGCGCGAGGTCAGCGAACATTAAACATGCTGACTGTTGGAATTAATCGCACAAGCAAGTAATTTTTCTATCTATATTAGTACGCCCGGTTGATTGCAGACTTTGAATGTATGCACTCTTTAATTTCCAATAGCATGGGTAACCCTAACGTGCACGATCAATCTCTGCTAGATGAATAAAAATGTTCTTCGACCCCTGGATTTTAACTTCGGACCTCTTCCATAATGTCGGACGCTCAACCGACTTTACCACCAGCTCACACCCTGAAGGCAAAGTCGCTAACATATACTTGAACGGGTGTAATCAGATTAATTTATGTAAGCCGCCTCTTAGAACCTTTGACAAGGAACTCCCAGAAATACCCGAAACACATTCAATAACGCGTACCAAACCCCAGAGAACCCACTATGCAAAAACGCATCTTCTTTCACCAACCGCCTCAGAAACCAACATCACCCAGCCAAATAAGCCTGCGCGTGGAGACTGCGATGGATGTCTTAACCTAGCCACGCGCGTAATACGTTTAGAGGATGCCTCGAATTTTACGTGTAGATATTAGCAGAGCTTATAAAGCACAAAAATTTAACACCACCGGATGCGGCGCATGCAGAGGACAGATCAGTGGTTGATAAACCGGGAAACCACGAATCCAGCAGGGCCAAACGCAGGCGCATACGCCAGCAGAAGGCGGCTGAAGAGCGGCCCGCTAAAGAACAAACAAAGCCCCAAGTTTTCGCAAGCCGAACTTGGATCACGCCACGTGAACAAAAATCAAGACAACCACTCAAAGAGCAGACTTCTAAAGAAAAGTAAGTAGAATTGGACCAAAGGGTAAACGGCAATTTCGAAGAAAATACTACCAGCAAAATGTCCATAGAATCTTTCACAGATCTAGACTTCAAAACCTCTGCTGCTACTCTGCTTCAGTGCGATGTGACCACGGCCCAAACTCAATCCAACCCTAAACAACATATAGTGATACAGGGTGCAACAGAATCAACGGCTGCCATTGCTGGGAATAAGGTGGAGCAGGATCGAGGTCTCGATCGGCAGTACGCTAAATCGCAGCCAAAAGGCACTGAGTCTGTAAAAATTCTCAAAACATCTATAATAGGCAAGGCTCAGCCGCCGAATGGTTCAAGCTCTCGGTCACGACCAGTAGAGGTCATTTGGGACACAGAAGCGCAGGCAGAGCTTCTGCTAGAAAGAAAATCGTCTCTGCTGACCATGCATGCCGGAGCTTTCCTTCCGCCGGATTTTGAACCAAAGACACGCAGGAAAATGCAAATTTTGATAAACGATATAAACATCCGAAAGATCAAAGGCGAAACAGACCTAAAAATAAAAGGAGGAGACATAGTCCACATCGAACTAAATTTTCTTTGGCCGGAAGTAGTCAGACGAAAATCTTAGCAAAGGTCAACCGGCCGGTTCTAGAGGATTCCACCAGCAAGTGGCCGCTGCCTCGAGATATATTATACCAATTGTCAAAGTCTCTTCAATAAAATTGGCGAACTCAAAATAATAGTGTCTGAGCAGAATTCGCATATAATAGCATTGAGAGAGACTTGGCTGACCGAAGCGATTGGGGTCAGCGAAGTCAGCATTGAAGGCTATCAACTCTTCCGCTGCGACATATCTCAACGAAGGGGCGAAGGCGGGGCTTTTATTTAGCCAATTAAATTTCCTTTTGTCAAAGGGAAATCGCAGACATAGCCCTATGAGGATATGAAATAATTTCGTGCAAAATTAAGATAAGCAACATCCGGCATTCAATATATGCGCTGTTTATTCGCCTCCCTGATCCAGCGGAAGTGGCAAGGTAGAGCTGCTAAGTTCACTGACAGTTATATGTTAACAGAAAAACCTATTAATCCTGGATGAATTCAATACTCTTCGCATCGATTGGATGAGGCCTGGAGTAAAGGCCGCAGCAGCACCTAAAAATATCAACTACTACAGTTTTCTTTGGACGAATATATCATTCAACACATAGACTTCACAACCCGACTGCAAAAAGACCAACAATCAAACTGTCTAGATCTTGTTTTAAGTAAGGATGAGGGGATCATAAAGGAAGTGAGCTCACAACCGCCACTTGCTTTGAGTGACTACGTCACTTTTACCTGCGTGTGCTATCTACTGTCCCCAAAATCGCAAATAAAGAGGAAAGCCGATTTTGAAGAAATGAGACGTACCGCTTCCGCAGAAAACTGGTTACGCAATACGAACGATACAAATGAATTATAGCAGCATATCCAAGGGAATGTAGAGCTCTTAATTGAAGTCCATTGTCCAATGAAAGTAATAAGGCCACGTGCCAGACCTCCATGGGTCAACCAGCTGATAAAAAGGACTATTAAGAAAAAAAGGCTGTGGAAATAGTTCGTGAATCTTCAGCATTCAAAAACAAATGCCAAATGTAAAGCGCAACGAAATATATGCCGTCAGGAAATAGGAAATTCTAGAACTGCCTTTGAGCGTCAACTTATAATA